ACAACTATTATGTATGTTTCGAAAGTGTGTTAGGAATTAAATTATTAATAAAATATTTCTCTACTTTCACCAGATTCTAAATTCCTATATTTCCCTCATTTATCTTGGTAATCCATTGTGAGTGCCTGGTGCATAGTAAATATTTGAAAGAATGAATATATTCCTTCAAGGAATTCATAGTAAGTTGGGCAAGGTAGATATAATGAGTAGCCACAATATAACTTATGAGAGAAACTGATCAGATACAAAGAAATACCTATGAATACTGATATTTAAACTGCCCCAAGGTGCTGTTTAAAGTACTTTGCGAGGCCAAGGCAGGCAGATTGCTTGAGCTCAGGAGTTCAAGACCAGCCTGGACAACATGGCAATACCCTGTCTCTACAGAAAATGCAAAAAATCAGCCAGGTATGGTGGTGTGCACCTGTGGACACTGCTGCTTAGGAGGCTGAGGTGGAAGGATGGCTTGAGCCTGGGAGGTGGAGATTGCAGTGGGCGGAGATCACGCCACTGCACTCCAGCTTGGGTGATAGAGCCGGACCTTGTCTCAAAAAAATAAAAATAAAAAAATGGAAGTCTCCAAACAAACTGCCACTTTGGGGCCCAGTGGGTGTAATAAGCCCTGCACATGCATATAGGACTTTGTCAGCTTCTTGTTGCCTCATCCTTGAATATGAAGGGAAAGCAGACTTTTGAGGAAATTCATTCTTAACAAAGACAGAGATCAAAACAAATTAAAACACAAACAAAAATGTGACTAGGGAAGAAATAGAAAAAAGATAAAAAGCAGAAACTTTTTTAAAAGTATAATTTTTTTTTTTTTTTTTTTGAGACAGCATCTCACTCTGTCACCCAGACTGGAGTGCAGTGGTGTGATCTCGGCTCACTGCAACCTCCACCTTCTGAGTTCAAGCAATTCTCCTGCCTCAGCCTCCCAAGTAGCTGGGATTACGGTCACCTGCCACCCCGCCTAGCTAATTTTTATATTTTTAATAGAGATGGTATTTCACCATGTTGGCCAGACTGGTCTTGAACTCCTGACCTCTGCCTCCCAGAGTGCTAGGATTATAAGTGTGAGCCACTGTGTGCTGCTTAAAAGTATGATTTTTTAAATTTCATAGATGAAACAAGATAAAGATGATATTTTTTAAAGGAGCAGAGTGCAAATAGAATTTTTGAAAACTAAAAATAATGATACCAGATTTTTAAGAACTATAGGAGGCTTGAGGAGAAAGTAGAGAAAATATCCCAGAAAATGTAACAAAAAGGCACGAGTTTTTTTTTTTTTTTTTAAGACGGAAAATTAAAGAAAATTTGGGGGGCTAATCCTAGAGATCTAACATCTTAATAGTGAATTCCAGAGCGGGAGAAGGGGAGAGAGAGAGAATGGAATAATTTATCAATTAAATAGAATACAAGATGATTCCCCAGAAATGAAAGATATGAGCTTGTAAACTGAAAAAATTACTGAGTACTTAGCACAATATATTTAAAAGACCACACACTAAGCCAGACACAGAGTGTCATATGTTATATTGTTTTATGTATACCCAGAACAGGTAAATCGATAGAGATAGCAAGCAGATGTGTGATCACCAGTGACTGTTGAAGTGGAGGTGGGGAGTAAATGCTTAGTGGGTATAGGGTTTTTGTTTGGGTAATGAAATGTTTTGGAACTAGGCACAACATAGTGAATATACTAAATTCTACCGCCTTGTTCACTTTAATGTTATTTTATGTTATGTGAGTTTCACCTCATTTAAGAAAAAAGAGACTATACACTGAGGAATATGAAATTTAAGAACACCAGGGATAAAGAGAAGATTCTGAAACCCAGAGAGAAACAAAGGGTATCATATAGTCATCATAAGCTAAATTTATAATATAGTAATAAATAAGCCATGAAATCTTTTTTTTTTTTTGGAGGTTTGCTCTTGTTGCCCAGGCCGGAGTGTAATGGCACAATCACAGTAACCTCTGCCTCCCGGTTTCAAGTGATTCTCCTGCCTCAGCCTCCCAAGTAGCTGGGATTAGGCATGCACCTACATGCCTGGCTAATTTTGTATTTTTAGTAGTGATGGGTTTCTACCTGTTGGTCAGGCTGGTCTAAAACTCCCGACCTCAGGTGATCGGCCCGCCTTGGCCTCCCAAAGTGTGGATTACAGATGTGAGCCACTGCGCCCGGCCAAGCAATGAAATCTTTGATGGCTCAACTCAACAAACATTTCTCATTCATGCTACATGTCCATAGTGAGGAAAACCACTCTGCTCTACATTGTCACTCAGGGATCGAGGCAGATGGGGTCTTAACTATGATCATAAGATAGTAAAGCTCCAGGGAATCTTGCCAATGTGTGCCAGTGTCTTGAGGCAAAGAAAGTTTATCCACATCGACTAGTTCTATGTCTTCCTACTGACTGGTATTAAAGTTCTTCATTAAAGGACTTGCAGGCAAATTAGAGGGAGGTAAAGGAGTTTCCTTGATTACTTTGATTTTCTCCCTGAACTCCTGCATCTGTTGCAGAAATACAATGTGTTCTGACACATCTTTGAAAGCCTCAGCAATGTTAAAAGCCATCTGTTGCTCCTGCAAGATGGTGTTGAGTTTGTTGATTTCTGGGTCATGTGCTTGCATAACAAGTTTCATGGTCTCAAAGTCAGGCAGAATTTCATTCTTCTTTTGATCCAACGTGTGTTGTAACTTTTCAAAAAATTCTGTCACTTTATCTGAATCTTTTGTCAGTGACTATAGGGATTTCCTCTTACTAGTTTCCAAGGTATCCAAGCAAGAAAGAGAATCTCCCCAACGCCAGGTCTCAGAGCTCTGGAAGAGGGACTCAAAGGCATCCCTTTCCTGAGCATACAAACTCTAGAAACTCTGGAGTTCCTGTAGTGGCATAAGGTGTAAAAAACTTATACTTTCTTTTAAATGCTTTAGCCCTGGCGAGCATGAGTCCTATGAACCTTCTTCAGTGCTAGGGAGTTGGGATGTGCAGTCCTCCCTGATGCTCAAACAGAGCAGGCAAACTAGGTGTTGCTGACCGTAAGAAATCTCTACTATGTGTACTGAGGGACAGGTTTCAGGCTGTATTAGATTCATCTTCTAGTTGGAAACTAAAAGACAATGGAACAATGCTTTCAGAATTCTGATGCAAAAGTATTTTCTGTAGATTTGTGTATCTAGTCAAACCATCAATCAAATGTGAAGGTAGAATGCTAACCTTTTCAGAGAAGCAAAATCACAAAATATTTACCTTCTGTCCACCCCTTTTCAGGAAATTATAACAAAGGAATAAAACAGGAAGAGGAAGATGGGGATATATAATGTGATAAATTACTTGGTGTGTTTGACAGTATTGAAAGTTGTATGGTTCTGTGAGAACTTGGGCTATTTTTGAGATATATAAAAAATAATAAAACAAAAAAATGAAGCATTATAAATTGAGTATATTGAATGCCATACAAGAAAGGAAATATAATTGTAGCCTACTGTATGACTATATAAAATAATTTGTCAATATAAATACCAATTATAGATTGACAAAATGCAATTCTTGAGGATGATAGTAGAAAATGGCAGAGCTTAATCATGTAAAATACATTGTCAATAAATAAAGTGGAAAAATAAAAAATCAATATATATTTAGAAATATAAATGTTAAGTATCAGAAGAAATGGGTAGGCTGGGCGTGGTCACTCATGCCTGTAATCCCAGCACTTTGGGAGGCTGAGGCATGTGGATCATGAGGTCAGGAGTTTGAGACCAGCCTGGCCAACATGGTGAAACCTCGTCTCTACTAAAAATACCAAAATTAGCTGGGCGTGGTGGCGGGCACCTATTACTTGGTGCCCAAGTAATCCCAGCTACTTGGGACTCTGAGGCAGGAGAATCACTTGAACCCGGGAGGCGGAGATTGCAGTGAGCTGAGATCGCACCACTGCCCTCTAGCCTGGGCAACAGAGTAAGACTCCATCTCAAAAAAATGAATTAAAAAAAAAAAGTAGAAATGGCTAAAAGTTGTAGGAAGTGAATTTTAGGAATGGAGTGAAGTAGGACAGAGGACAGGTAGGACAGCTTACATTATACATCTTAATCAAAATCTGTTACTTTCTGTTTTTAAAAAGGCAGAGACAAAGTGTCACATACGGCAAAGAGCCTATGAGAAATGAAAATTATGAAAAAGAGCTATGGGCATTGGCAGACAAGAGGCTATAATGATATTGGAGCAGTTTCAGTGGTTGAGTGGTGGATGTAGACCAAGTTGCAATAGGTTGTAGAGTAAGAGAATAGAAAATTTTATTCGCACATACTGCTAATGAAGGAGACCAACTGACATACAGCAGTAAGTAAAGGACCCAATAGATATATCCTCCTCAATGAAATGTAGAATATGAAAATATGACTCTAAGTTAGTTATAAGGAAGTACATTATACATTTACAGAGAATCCCCCATAAAACAAAATTTTTTTATTTCTTTGATTAGCTCTTCTAAAATAATTCATTTTACTGAAATGTGTTATTTAGCCATCTCTGCTGAGTTATGTCAGCAGAGAACAATAAGCTATCCATATAACTTAATTTTTATTCATTTGAATAATTCTTTTTCATAAATATTTTATTTCAACTCAATATTCTTTTTTGTTTGTTTGTTTGTTTGTTTGTTTTTGTAGTATCCTGGAATTCAAATATTCTTGATCTAAAGACAATTGCTTTGATTATTTCTTCTGAGTCCTGTTTATAAAAAGATCTAGGCTTTTAAAAAGGTGAAAATAAAAGGCAAATTGTCTGCCTGCCGCTAGTTTTCTGCATTAACCTGATTTCTCTGTCATAGTTCCAGTTCTCCTAGTTTCCCCTTCCAGATTCAAGTTTTTATTCAAGCTTGGTCATAGGAGTAATGTTATCATCTTTAAATTTGGTCATGGAATGTGTTACACTGCCTAGCTCAGGGAAGTGCTGCTCGGTTTGGGCTTGGATGGTAACGTTTATTTTCCTTGGCAGAGAAGCTGATCGTTGAAGGGCATCTAACCAAAGCAGTAGAAGAAACAAAGCTTTCAAAAGGTTTGTTTTCTGTTTTTTCTATGTTTTTTGACAGTTCTTTGATAATGAAGGTTAGTATATAGTTTCAAGGTTATAGTATTTTAACCATCAGTTTATTTCTTACAGATCACAAAATGGCAAGCCAATAACAGTATCAGATAATGTATAAAATAATTAGACTTCTATTTTAAGAAGGGTATCTTAACTGGAATGTTTCTTTCTAAGTCGGTGTATATTTGGGGTTTTTTGAATGTTAGTAGTTGGTATAGGTTTCTTTAGGTATTAAAGATTTGTTACAATCTCACTTCCAGCATTAATTTCAGCTTTGAGCTCAACTTTTAATCAAACACAATGTAAATCTTTTGTGATACAACTTAAGTGAAACCTGCTTGTAGTTCCATTTGCGGGGTTACTGTACCTTTAAATTCTCTTATGATATTTAATATTTTCTTAACTTTTGGCATCTCAGTTTGATTTAAACAAAATGATTGACTTTGTGAATATAGAATCTTCTTATTTTTTATAATGAATAGTCAAGTAATTGCCCGAAGTAGTTTATTGTGTTAATTCTGTTACACTTGTCAGAGAAGAAAAGTGAGTTTTAAAGTACCATATTGTCAAGTCACTTTTATATGTAGGGAAACTAGGCAAATAAATTTGGTGGCATGTGTTTATCATAGTAAAACTTTCATTAGACTATACCAGTATAAAATTTAAAACTAGATTCACAGTGCTTTTGGTCTATTAAAACAATGAGTTATAAAAGTTTGAAATACTTAATTTTAGTACATTCTATTTTATTAAAGTAACTGGATTCATTTGGCTTTTTTAACTATTTAAGGGAATGGTGTTATTTCAGATATCTGGTGGTTTCTATTCTAAATTTTGTACACGGCAGATACCATATTTGGGGAAAAATGCATAGAATATGCATTGTTAATATTGTTCTGGGAAACAGGTACTGAGTTTCAGAACAGTGAACTATTTTTAGTACATATGGCACTTTATTTCACCTTATTAAAGTGAGATGAGAACAGACCTTAAAATAGCTTTTACCTCACCATCCAAATACCTATACAGATTAGTTGGTTGAATAGCCAGCACTCTGAAGTAGAGCCTTAGGAAAAAAATCAAGATACTTTATTAAAGTATCTTGCTATCTTAGCACTTATATTTAATGCATTCTAAATTAGAATATATTTGCTTGAAATTGTGTTGTCATTATTGGAAGTTTTGTGCATTACTGATTTCCCTTTTTAGTAATTTATTATTTTTATTTTATTGATAACATGATAGATGCACACATTTTCAGGATATGTTTTATTATTCATTGTATTCATTTAATGTGTAAAGAGCAAATCAGGGTAATTAGAATATCATCACTTTAAATATTTTTATCTTTGTCTGATTTCCTTTTAAACCTGGCTATGAACTGTTTATTGGAAGTCTTAAAGAACATACTTTTTGATCCAGCAATTCTACTTCTATATTTTTAACCTTTCTGTTTTTCTTTTCTTTTTTACTCTCTTTTGAGTGTCACTCTTGTTGCCCAGGCTGGTGTGCAGTGGCATGATCTCAGTTCACTGCAACTTCCACTTTCCGAATTCAAGGGATTCTCCTGCCTCAGCCTCCTGAGTAGCTGGGATTACAGGTGCATGCCACTACGCCTGGCTAATTTTGTATTTTTAGTAGAGACTGGGGTTTCACCATGTTGGCAGGCTGGTCTCAAACTCCTGACCTCAGGTGATCTGACTACCTCAGTCTTCCAGAGTGCTGGGATTATAGGCCTGAGCCACCATGCCTGGCCTGGGTTTTTAATCTTAAGGAACAAATTGGATAAATGAGCAAGAATGTTTGTTTTCAGTGTTGTTTAAAAGCAACAAGAAGAAAGCGTTTGTGTCCATTAATAAGGGTATTTATTAAATAAATTATGGCAGATAAGTCCATGTAAATGAATAGAATATATTCTTTAAGAATGATAATACAAAAAAAAGATATGGCAAGGAAAAACAAAAAGAAAAAGACTCATAATACAAATATAAGTTTTATATACTCGGGGATTCTCTTTCTTTTCTTCTTTCCTCTTCTCTTTTCTTTTCTTCTTTTCAACGGAGTTTCACTCTTGTTGCCCAGGCTGAAGTACAATGGCGCAATCTCAGCTCATCACAACCCCACCTCCCAGGTTCAGGCTATTCTCTTACCTCAGCCTACCAAGCAGCTGGGATTACAGGCATGCACCAACACACCCGGCTCATTTTATATTTTTTAGTAGAGACAGGGTCTCTCCATGTTGGTCAGGCTGGTCTTGAACTCCCCACCTCAGGTGCACCCGCCTCAGCCTCCCAAAGTGCTGGAACCACTGGCATGAGTCACCATGCTCGGCCGAATTTTTCTATCAGTAGTGAGTGAACACTTTACTAGCACCTTTCACAGTTAATATGCAAAGATATGCTAATCCTTGTAACAAACTAGATGGCTGAAATAAGTTACATTTTAAATCGAGCTAAAAAGTATTTTTTTTTTTTTGATTTGGCTAAATATTCTTTAATTGGTGATACTTTCGTGGAATTTTCTTTTTTGGGTTGAAAATATCAGCTGCTATAAATAAACAGTTACCAACTGTTAGCAGTCTTACCTCTTCTATTAACTCTAGGTATCACTTGATGCAAAATGTGCTTTCTGTTTAATTTCTAACTCAACTTGCAGTCATTAAATGTCTATATATAGCTTTGGAGGTAGAAGTAGAAAGAATATGTATAGATAATTCTGCCACTAACTAGCTGTACGCTCTCAGGCAATTTCAGTTCTTTAAACCTCACTTTCCTCATTTATGAAGTGAGATTGACAAAATGTGAGCCACCACTCATGGCCTTGTGTTTCATTCTTAAATCGATTTGATTTGCCTCGGTATAACTATAGTAGCAGGATACAACATTGAGGGACTATGACTTGACTTGCTAAAAACTTGCTTTCTGGCCAGCCTCAGTGGCTCATACTTGTAACCCCAGCACTTTGGGAGGCCAAGATAAGAGGATCGTTTGAGCCCAGCAGTTCAAGACCAACCTTGACAACATAGCGAGACACTGTCTCTTAGAAAATGCGCACACTCGTGCACACACACAGACACAGAGACACACACACACTCTCTCTCACACACACACACTCTCTCTCTCTCTCTCACACTCTCTCTCTCTCTCTCTCTCTCTCTCTTTTTGTCTCTCTCTCATTTTCTTGCCAGCCTGGGCAACATAGTGAGACACTGTCTTTTAGAAAACACATGCGGGCCGGGCGCGGTGGCTCAAGCCTGTAATCCCAGCACTTTGGGAGGCCGAGGCAGGTGGATCACAAGGTCAAGAGATTGAGACCATCCAGGTCAACATGGTGAAACCCCGTCTCTACTAAAAATACAAAAAATTAGCTGGGCATGGTGGCGCGTGCCTGTAATTCCAGCTACTCGGGAGGCTGAGGCAGGAGAATTGCCTGAGCCCAGGAGGCGGAGGTTGCGGTGAGCCGAGATTGCACCGTTGCACTCCAGCCTGGGTAACAAGAGCGAGAGCGAAACTCTGTCTCAAAAAAAAAAAAAAAAGAAAACACATGCATGCACACACACACACAAAAAAAATTTTTCTTATTCAGAGTAGATATATGCTTTCAATCATCTTTTTTTTTTTTTGAGTTGGAGTTTCGCTTTTGTTGCTCAGGCTAGAATGCAGTGGCACAGACTCACCTCACTGCAGCTTCCACCTCCTGGGTTCAAGGGATTCTCTTGCCTGAGGCTTCACAGTAGCTGGGATTACAGGCATGCGCCACCATGCCCGGCTAATTTTGTGTTTTTAGTAGAGACGGGGTTTCTCCATGTTTAATCTGCATGGGGTTATATTATACATACTGCTCTTTATTAGGCTTAATTTTTACTGAGTAGTAAATATATCTTGAATAGTTTTCATTTCATAATAGATGTATTTCATTTTCCCATAATGAACAATACTTCAATGAGCCTTATGTATCCCATATATGCTGTGTTATTTCCTTAGGAAAACTACTAGAAGTGGACATGCACATACAAACAATGAAATCTGTGCATAGCATTATAAAAATAATTATATGCTTTATAAATGTATAATCTTATTAAGGAAAGAAGTTATATACACATACACAGAATATTATAAAATAGAATATGATTAATTGGGGAAACAAAAGACACAGAGAAGATACAATTAAAAGGAGCACCATAATGGAGAAATGAAGACTTCCTTAGAGTTGATGGAACTTAAACTGTGTATTACAGAATGAATAGGCCAAGTAGAGAGAATGGCTGTTTTGAGGTTAGGGAAATATCAAATGAAACAAATAATTGCAGGACATGTTAAGGAGGCATGTATCAGCCCTATAAGGAAGCTAACATGACCAAAGCAGAGCTCCTGTGGGAATTAATGCAGGGACCAGATTACGGCTAAATTCTGCCATGTAAAGCTTGACTGAGACCTTGTGGAGAATGGGAAGATGCTATCAAATTTTAGTCAGAGAAATGACATTCTCTGCAAATGCTACCCTAAGGAATGCCATAGGTTAGGTGTAATGGCTCACACCTGTAATCCCAGCACTTGGGAGGCTGAGGCGGGAGGATTGCTTGAGCCCAGGAGTTCAAGACTAGCCTGGGCAACATAGTGACACTCCCCTCTCAAAAAGAAAAAAGGAATCCCATTGTGTATACAAATGTGCCATTACAGATGAGGATCTGTGGCCTAATTAATTGCCAGTTATCTTTAGTAAACTGTTGGGCCTATAGTTAGGATTTCTGAGGGCAATTCTTTGAAAATTAGGCCTAAGATGTCTTCATCTGAACCAGGCAGAAGACCTCTTGTAAATAATTTCAAAACTTTTTAAAAAGTTTTTTTCTTGGCCAGGTGCAGTGCCTCATGCCTGTAATTCTAGTGCTTGAGAGGCTGAGACTGGAAAATCATTTGAGCCGGGAGTTTGAGACCAGCCTAGGCAACATAGCAAGGCCTCATCTCTACAAAAAATTAAAAAGAGATAGCTGGGTATGGTGGCATGAGCTTGAAGTCCCAGCTTGCTCTGGAGGCTGAGGCAGGAGGATCCCTTGAGCTCAGGAGGTCGAGGTTGTAGTGAGCTGTATTCGTGCCACTGCATTCCAGCCTGGGCAACAGAGCAAGACCCTGTCTCAAAAAAAAAAAAAAAAAAAGTTTTTTCTTACTGTGATTGAGGGACACTTATCTTTAGAAATAAAAGGCTGTTAATTTACTTTCTTTATAAGAACTAACGTGATTTTTTTAAAGAGTTTATGTAACAGAGCCTTTTCCTTTAATCATTTTTATACAGTGTCCACATTGTCTTGGGAATTTTACTGTATTTGTTGCAGTTCTCTGAATACTTTAGCAAAGCTTGCTTCATTTGTATTTCTAGTTGGCAAGTGGACAGCCTTGAACAAAAAGCCCCAGCCCTCAGCAAAGCAGACATGATCCACATTATAATTTAATATGAGCTACATGTAATAACCAGCATTCCATTTTGGACAAGGGTGGTGAAGAAGTAAGAGATTCAGTGACCTGACCTATTTTAAAAGTACTTCATGTACCTGTAGATTTTGAGCATTCATAGCCTGAAACAGTTTTATTGATAGAAGATATTTAACTGTAATAAGATTTTACTTTTATTTTTTTCTTGGTAGAAAATCAGACAAAAGCAAAGGAATCTGATTTATCAGACACTCTGAGTCCAAGCAAGGAAAAAAGCAGTGACGACACTACAGGTGAGTTTTAACCTAATGTGTATTGACCTGCAGCTATTAATGGCAGTTTAGGTATACAGGTTAACATGAGTGGAGATTTCGAAGTTTGTGTTTGGGGAAAAAAAATGCTTCATCAGGCCATCCCCTTTGAATCTTGGCTATTTTGTTAAAACTACTTTCAACTATCCAAATATAATAGAAGTATCAATTCTAATTGTTTGCTGAATACTGCCTGTAATTATATGTGTGTGTGTGTATATATATACGTATATATATATATATTTTTTTTTTTCCCTCTCTCTAGACGCGCAAATGGATGAGCAAGACCTAAATGAACCTCTTGCCAAAGTGTCCCTTTTAAAAGGTACGTTAACATGTTTTTATGACATTGTAAACCAGGGTATCAAATCACCCTTTGTCATAAAATCTGTTCTATATATTATATAAAGTTTTAATTTTTAGTTAAGAGATTCAGATAGGTTCTGTAAAGTAGCAGGAACCAAAATTTAAAATTTTGGTGCTCATGCCCAGCATTTCATACAATTGTAGAATAATTTGAATCAGTCAAGATTATGAAAGGCAAAGTGTTAAGTGGTAGAATGTGAAATGCAGCTGTGTTTTTTGTTTACCCTTGTGTCTCTAATAGGAATTTATTAGCACTTTTAACATAATTAGGATAAGGCGGAATTCTTTCTTGAAAGATTCACTGGTGTGCTGTATTATCATATGGTAGCAGTTGTAAATTTCCTTATTTCCTGTCGTCTTCATCTTCTAGTAAATATCCCCAGATTCTTATGACACTCTTCTAGAAATTTTGGACTAAGAAATTTTAGATGGTGATAAGCAGTGCATGTAATGAACTCTTTGTCTCACCTCTAAATAGGAAGTACATGTATTTCTTGATATTTACTTGTTTAGAATAAAGTAGGTAGAAAATAATCAGCATTTATAATTTTTTTTTTTAAATAAAGTTTCTTGGGGATAGTTTACTGGAAAATTGCCAACATTCAGTCTCTTTTGTGTTGCCTTATTGTACACAAGGAAAGTTGACATATTGTAAGTTCAGCCCGATGGATTAATTAAAAATGGTGGTAGGGGTATACTAACACCAGACAACTCTCTGGGATCAGTAGCAGCCTATGGAAATTTCTCTTTGTGGAAGTGCCTGTTGTTATGGCTGGACTAACAGTGAATCTCCTTGTCCAGGCCCAGAGCTTTGGGATTATGTAAGAAGGAGCACTCTTACTGATTTATACTTTTTTTTTTTTTTTGAGACGGAGTCTCACTCTGTTCCCCAGGCTGGAGTATAGTGGCTCTGCTCACTCCAACCTCTGCCTCCCGGGTTCAAGTGATTCTCCTGCCTCAGCCTCCTGAATAGCTGGGATTACAGGCGCACACCACTACGCCCAGCTAATTTCTTGTATTTTTAGTAGAGATGGGGTTTCACCATGTTGGCCAGGCTATTCTTAAACTCCTGACCTCATGATCCCCCTGCTTCGGCCTCCCAAAGTGCTGGGATTACAGGGATGAGCCACCGTGCCTGGCCCTGATTTGTACTCTTCTTAGGTGATCTTTGGTGTTGATAAGGCATGATTTTTTTCTAATGTCATAATAAAATATAAGTTAATGTTAGTATGGTCCAGAAATCTCATCTCAGAAATACAATACCCTTATGGTATAAAGTGTAGTTACTGGTACTGAAAGAATCATTGTCAGACCCTATGGACCTTTATGGGAATGTGGAAACAAAAGAAGGGAGATAAATAAGTAATGAACATACCCATACAAAAGTAGCCCTCTTTATGGTCTTTCGTACTGCAGAACTCTCCCAGAAGTCATTTCTTTCTTTTTTGTTGTTGTATTTTGTTTTTTATTTTTGTAGGTACATAGTAGGTGTATACATTTATGGTGTGCATGAGATGTTTTGGTATAGGCATGCAGTGTTCCCAGAAATCTTTTTAACTGCCAACATAAGATCGATTTATAGTGTTTACGATTGTGTCAATTGTATTCAACTATTATTAGTGTTTTTCTGATTTTTGTAAGTCTGTTTGAGATTTGATTTTTATCCCATTGCCTACCACAATGCAGGTATTTAGTAAAACTCAGATATTCAATGAATGAATGAATAATAGTCTTCTTACATTAAAATTATAAAACCACAAGAGCATTAGGAAAGTAACACTAGCCGCAAAGCTGAGAGTCAAAGAACTCTGGGTTCAGTCATGGCTTTGCCATGTATTTGTAATATGTCCTTGGCAAATTGCTTAACCCCTCTGTGATTCAGGGCTTTTTCATGTATCAAATGGGGGAATCTATAGGATTATTGTGAAGATTGAATGAGAGAGTGTGCATGGACCATTTACCATGGTGTTGGGAACTAAAGTGTTAACCACCATAATGAAGACAGTGATCATGATAATGATGGTGACTGATAAAATCAGACCTATGTGTTGAAGGACTCTGAGTAACTCCTTATTAATTAAATAAGATTGTAGGATTTTAAAATTATTTCCTACATTATTTAGGAACAATAAATTACTAGACCAGCATATTGACCTTTAGAGCTATATAAAGAAGCTACATTTATTTTCCTTATTCAAACTCTGTACCTGACTTCCTGAACCATTATTTTCAAGTTTTTTTCCCATTTTTTTAAAAAATAGCCAATCTTTATTTAGAATTATTGTGCACTACTTATCATATTAGTCGGCTAGGACAAGGAAAAATAATAATAAATATTTATTATGAAATATAATTAAAATGATGATAGCAATAGTACTTTTTCCCTGATATAGTAATCATTTTGATCTATTTATGCTACTTTTAAATGAGAAATAAGTTAATCAAACTATGTTTTCTCTATGCTTGAAACCCTCTCCCATAAAACATTTTTTAAAAATTGAATTCACTTCAAATCATGTCTATTGCAAATTTGCTCTATTTGGGGAACCTTGCCAGGGACTGCAGTGGTTTTAAAGTTTAATAAGACAGTTGGACTGGGCATGGTGGCTCATGCCTGTTATCCCAACACGTTGGGATGCAGAGGTGGCCTGATCACTTGAGCCCAGGAGTTTGAGACCAGCCTGGGCAAGATAGCAAAACCCCATCTCTAAAAAAAATTGTGTGTCTGTAGTCTTAGCCGGTCAGGAGGCTGAGGTGGGAGGATCACTTGAGCCCAGAAGGCAGAGGTTGCAGTGAGCCCAGATCATGCTACTACACTCTAGCCTGGGTGACAGAGCAAGACTCTGTCTCAAAATGAAAACAAGGCTGGGCGTGGTAGCTCACGCCTGTAATCCAAGCACTTTGGAGGCCAAGGCGGGTAGATCACCTGAGGTCAGGAGTTCAAGACCATCCTGACCAGACCAACATGGTGAAACCCTGTCTAAAAGAACAAAAAAAACAAAAAACAAAACTATCCTTGGGATTTAAGGGATTTTTAGACAAACTAGTAATAGTAAATTTTTAAAAACTTTGTATTTTCCTTATGCCTCAACATATCCACAAACAGGCTGTGAACACTCTGCCCCGGCAACTAGATGCACCAGTGTGATAAGGCTGGTCCCTGCTACAAGTTCCCCTTCGCTGACAGTGGCCTAATGAAATTTAATGAAATCACCTCATGCCTTTTGTTGTTTGTGTATCGTGACCCTCAATACAAGCATTTGCCTACAGGCCCTCACTCTATCAGTTATACCTGTTTGGTTGAGCCCATTCCTTCCTTGGCCTCCCATATGGTTCCCTGCATGGTGTATCTTGCCTCCCTCTCTGGGACCTTTGAGTATAATAAATGATTTAGTTTTATATGCCTCTCCAAGTATAATTCCCACATCTGTGTTGGAGTGATCCTTAAGGACCCCACAGGGGGACTTACTCCTTCCCCTATTTTCCACACAGACAGGTATAGATGATAATAAGCTGATTATTGGTGATTGTCGCATAGAATGTCCAGGGTTTTTTTGTTTGTTTGTTTTGGAGGATGGGGAAGAAAGGCATTTTGAGTTTCATGGGACAAAAGTCATTGAAATGACTCTATAAATAGTGTGTCTTACCATATGCGATATATTCAGTGATTAAAAAAAAAATTAAACTAAACCTGAATCTGATCAAGACTGTAGCTTCAACTGCCAATTTGTAGGACAACTGATTCTACAAGACACAAAACCCAGCTTCTTTAGTAATTAAATTAGAAGGGGGAAAAGGGAAAGGAGATGGGGGAAATCCTATAAATTAAGAGAGATTTAAGAGGTATGCCAACTAACTACAATGCATGAACCTTGTATGAATCTTCATTCAAACAATTCAACTGTAAAATAAATTTGGGACAATGGAAAATAGTAATACTGACCTGGATATCAAGCAATTAAGAAATTGCTCATTTTTTTCCAGTGTGATTATGGTATTATAGGTATTATTTCTTTTTAGTCTTGTCTTAAAGATGTTACAGATTTTTTTAAAATTTATATCTGTAAAATATTTTTAAGTGGGTAGGATTACAAGAAGAGTAGATAAAAGAATATTTCCTTCTTAGAAAAAGGAAATATTAAAAATCACAAGCTAGATCATATGGGTTGGGTTTGAGGATTGATAAGTATAATTAAAGTTTGTTCACATAATCCTTTGAGTGTTTTGTAAAGTAGAGTGATCATTATAACAATTCAGCGGCTTCTGAGCACAGCAATGATATGATCAGATCTGTATTTGGGGGAGGTTTATTGAATGAACTGGAGTAAATAGAGGCTACAGGTAGAGCCATCAGGAGGCTTAATCATTTGAGAGTCTGAACTAGGGTAATTACTGTGGAAATGTAAGAGAACAAAACCCACTTGCGGCCCTGTTATTCTCATCTTTTATCTCTCCCTTGGTAATCTTATCTAGAATCCATTGGCCTGAGACACTATATATGGGAGAGAGATGAAAGTCAGCTGTAACTCCAGGATTTGACCCTGAGTGACTGAAAATTAACAAACATTTGTTTCTGGAAGAAAAAGTGTCCTGGTAGCAGCTGTAATGGTTTTAATTTGGCATACACTAAACAGGAAGAGTGACCATGAGTTTGCCTGGAACCATTTGTGCCTATTGTCCCAGCATAATTATCATTAAAAGTGCTCTCTTTCATATTCAAAGATGTCCCAGTTTTATATGGTCACTCTAGAAACTGGAAATGAAGCTGGATGTCCAGAACAGAAACTAGAACCAACAAGTCATTTTCTTTTAATTCTCTGATGTTTTATTGACCTGAGAGATAGAGAGATAAGATACACAAGGAGGCTATAGACAGAAAACAGGAACCAGGTTTGGAAATTCTCTGCACAGGGGTGATCAATGGTAGCAGAGGGAAGTTCTAGTGAAAGAAAAGAACAATGGGGAAAGTAAAAGATCTAGCTGTTAAGAAGGAACCCGGCAGTTCAGAAAGAGTGGCAAAGGGGTAAGAATTGACAATAAGAGGCTGCCACCTGAGACTGTTTCACATGACCACACATAACCACAATGGAAAGATGATCTTCCTGCAGGGCGAAGGTTATTCTCATCAACCAAGCCTGCAACTAAAGGGAAGAGTGATAATAATGGAAGGAGGACACATCCACTTGCCAGGTCACTTTTATCAGTTGATGACATGACCTATGTTATGGCTAGATCAGCTTTTCACAAGCACGCACCTGAAAAATACAATTTGGGGAAAAAAATTCTTTGATATGGCCCTTTACCAAGTGGTTCAGTGTGTCTTTAAATATATTTAGAGGAAAGGTCAGAGTTTAAGTTGAATCTCCAGTCACTCTTTTAAAGATATTTTGTATAAATTTAATTTTAGGATGTTATGTAGGTAGGTATTCTGTGGGCCAGGGCTGGTTAATTTAGTCAGTTCATTTATAGTATGAATTTACAGGATTTAGCCTTGGTCTGAGAAAAACTGGCTCCTGGCACAGACTGTACACCAGGCAGTCCTAAAGATAAACAATTTGTGTTAAGGAAGAAACAGATTCTGGTAATCTTTACAACTTATGTTAGTTACTCTTAATTACATTTATTTTCATGTGACTTACATGTCTTAATAAAATGACTTTGGACCCAAGCCACAATAAGCTAATAATGTATTTTCCGATACAAACATAGGATTACAATGAGACCTTGATCAACCTTTACACAGAAAGAATTGCTCATTAGTCTTTGATTTGAAAAAAATAATAAGGTACTTGGTTTACTAGAAAGAGGATCTGCACACTAAATACTCAATTAGTTTGAATATAGTTAGATTATTATGTCTGTGTTTATTATTATTATTATTTTTTTTTAAGACGGGGGTTTCACCATGTTGGTCAGGCTGGTCTTGAACTCCCAACCTCAAGTGATCCAGCCGCCTTGGCCTCCAAAGTGCTTGGATTACAGGCATAAGCCACCACGCACAGCCTGTCTGGGTTTATTAAGCTTAATTTGTAAAGATTTTTGCCATCTCCACTTCTATGATCAAACACTATATAGCATTCAAGACCAGCCTGGGCAACATAGTGAGACCCTGTCTCTACCAAAAAACAACAAAACTTAGCCAGGCACAGTGGTGCATGTCTGGCTAAGTCCCAGCTATTCTTGAAGCTGAGGTATGAGAATTGCTTGAGCCCAGAAGGTAGAGCCTACAGTGAGCAGACATTGTGACACTGTGCTCTAGCCTGGCCAACAGCAGACCCTGTCTTGAATAGAAAGAAAACAAAACAAAGAATCAGTTGCACACATGATGGCCTTTATGCTTAAATACCTCAGAGTGCATTTCTTACTTCTCTTGTGTAACTACCGTACAATTCTCAAAATTAAGAAATTAACATGGGTACATTACTATTCTCAAATTCAAATACCTAGTTCACATTTTGACAGCTTTCTCGGTAATGTTCTTTATGACATGGCCCAGCATGGTAGCTCATGCCTGTAATCCCAGCACTTTATGAGGCCAAGGATCACGTAAGCCCAGGGGTTTGAGATCAGCCTGTTGCAACATAGCAAGACCTCATCTCTACAAAAAAATTAAAAATTTTGCTGGGTGTGGTAGCACATGCCTGTGGTCCCAGCTACTTAGGAGGCTGAGGAAGGGGGACAGCTTGAGCCCAGGAGGTCAAGGTGAGGCTGCAGTGAAGTGTGATGGCACCACTATACTCTAGATTGTGCAACAGAGCAAGACCCTGTCTCAAAAAAGAGAAACCGGGCTGGGCACGGTGGCTCAAGCCTGTAATCCCAGCACTTTGGGAGGCCGAGATGGGTGGATCACGAGGTCGAGAGATCGAGACCATCCTGGTCAACATGGTGAAACCCCGTCTCTACTAAAAATACAAAAAATTAGCTGGACGTGGTGGCGCGTGCCTGTAATCCCAGCTACTCAGGAGGCTGAGGCAGGAGAATTGCCTGAACCCAGAAGGCGGAGGTTGCGGTGAGCCGAGATCGCACCATTGCACTCCAGCCTGGGTAATAAGAGCGGAACTCCGTCTCAAAAAAAAAAAAAGAGAAACCAAGATCTAAATGTTTGGTGTCCTCATTGCTACTGGTATATAATTGCTTCTAGCCCCACTCAGTGGACAGACTTAAGAAGTGTGAGTGTGTGTGCATGTGTGTGTGTGTACAGTTGCACACATATCTATATTTCTATATGTATAACTTCAGATTTATTCAAGTTCATACCCTACACCAGAGGATTAATCCTTTTTTTTCTTTTCTTTTCTCCATTTTTTTTGTTTTTTTTTTTTCGTTTTTGTTTTTGAAACAGAGTCTCACTCTGTTGCCCAGGCTGGAGTGCATGGAGTGCAGTGGCATGATCTCGCCTCACTGCAGCCTCCGCCTCTCAAATTCAAGCGATTCTCCTGCCTCAGCCTCCCGAGTAGCTGGGACTACAGGTGTGCATCACCAAATCCAGTTAATTTTTGTATTTTTAGTAGAGAGGGTTTTACCATGTTGCCCAGGCTGGTTTCGAACTCCTTACCTTAAGTGATTCGCCTGCATTGGCCTCCCAAGGTACTGGGATTGTAGGTGTAAGCCACTATGCACAGCCCAAAGGATTAATTCTATCTTACCTATTTTCGTATCTGTAATTCTCTTCTTCAACAGTGAGAAAAGTGGCTTCCTTTATCTGCAATATATTTATTTGAGCATTTTTAGAATACCCAGAAGGTTGTTTCAGAATTAATAGCCAGTGCTTTTATAAAAAAGAAACGTATTTAATTTTTTTTTCTTGGTTATCAAATTATTAACATAGAGCAATAGTCCTCAACATGGGACATTTTATCTCCCAGGGGATGTTTGGCAATATCTGAAGACATTTTTAGTTGTTGTGACCTGGGGGGTGGGGCCCGGTGAGGGGCTACTGAATCTTGTGGATAGAGACCAGGAAAACTACTAAACATCCTACAATTCATAGGGTAGTCCCACAGCAAAGATTTTATTCAGCCCAAAATGTCAGTAGTGCTAAGGTTGGAAAACTCTATCACAGAGCAAGGAAAATATCTACTTGAAGAATTAATGTCAATGTTTTTGTCAGACCACTTGAATGTAAGATGTAGACATTACGATAATTCTCTCCTAAATATTCCTTTAAAAAAGGAGCATTGTTCTACATAATGACAAATCCAGAAATGGGGGCCAGGACCTTTGCAGACTCCAGTGAATGGTGTTAAAAGAGCTGTGAGAGTTTTGTAGCTAATGCAACAGTGTCTCTGTAAAGTCTCTCTCTCTTTCTCTGTCTCTTTGCCCCCTTCCTGGCCAAAAGACCTTTTGAAGGAAGAATTAACAGGTCGACTAGAGTAGATGAATCCAGAATCAATTTTTTTTTCTTTTTTTTGGAGACAGAGTCTTGCTCTGTCGCCCAAGCTGGAGTGCAGTGGCGTGATCTTGGCTCACTACAATCTCTGCCTCTGGGTTCAAGGGATTCTTGTGCATCAGCCTCCTGAGTAGCTGGGATTAGAGACGCTCATCACCACACCCAGCTAAGTTTTAGTAGAGACGAGGTTTCACCATATTGCCCAGACTGTTCTCAAACTTCTGACCTCAGGTGATCTGCCTGCGTCAGCCTCCCAGAGTGCTGGGATTACAGGCATGAACCACCGTGCCTGGCCTAGAATAAAATTTTTCTAGAGAGAAAATTAGGATATAATCTATGAATATGAAAGTATGTATATGTAATTTCCAAAACTTGTTGTAATTGTATTGTGAAAGTTATTCTTAACTCCTTTTTGATGGATTGAAGTTATTATGCTGAGGTACTTATAAGCCAAAGTGATACTCAAATAGAATACACTAGAAGAATATGGCTTAACTGATGATATGATTATTACAGGCAGTGTTCAGTAGCAGAAAGTTTTAATACAATGAAAAAAGAGCAGAATAACTGGAGAGGAAGGAGGTTAGGGGAAGGGGCATATTTGAAATAGAATACTGGATTTAATTTATTTCAGTGAAACCACTTAGGTTACATCATTTAATATATTCAGCAGATATTTTGTTTTGTTTTGTTTTTGCTTTTGTTTGTTTTTTGAGACAAAGTCTTGCTTTGTGGCCCAGGCTGGAGTATAGTGGCATGATCTCGGTTCATTGCAGCCTCTGCCTCCTGGGTTCAAGCAATTCTTCTGTCTCAGCCTCCCATGTAGCTGGGACTACAGGCATGTGCCACCATGCCTAGCTAATTTTTTGTATTTTTAGCAGAGACAGGGATTCACCATGTTAGCCAGGATGGTCTTGATCTCCTGACCACCTTTGTGATCCACCCACCTTGGCCTCCCAAAGTGCTGGGATTACAGGCGTGAACCACCGGGCCCGGCCCAGATGTGTGTGTTGAGGAAAAGGTGATGACAAAGTAGGCTCAGTAGAGCTTTCAGCCTAGTTTTTTATTTTGCTTTTCATAATTAGAATAATTGTGCTAAAATTTAGCTGCTTCTTGACGAAGAGTTTCTTTTTGTTATCCATATCCAGTTAAGTTCCAAGTAAAATTTTTCTGACTGGTTATCAAGAAATTTCAAAATCATGAATAAGAATAGCATTTTGCTCATCTCACTGAATTTCAAGTCTTAATAAGCGATGAATTATAATCTATCACTGTAATTATTTATTTTGATGCTAAAATTGTGAATATATAATTTATGTTAGCATACATTTTATAGTGTCATCACCATGATTACTAATATATATAACTGTATTTGTGTTTTCTCCCAACTACTAAAATGCTTACTAGAGTTTGCTTCTAAGTTTTATTTAACTCACTGGTTCTGTTGTTTATGTATGTGTAAACCTGAAAGAGATTACCAGTCTTTTATTGTAGAGATTATAGCGTGATACTAACTCTTGCTTTTAAAATAAACATGTTTTTGTCAGATGACTTGCAGGGTGCACAGTCAGAAATTGAGGCAAAACAAGAAATACAGCATCTTCGAAAGGAATTGATCGAAGCCCAGGAGCTAGCTAGAACAAGTAAACAAAAATGCTTTGAACTTCAAGGTGAGATCAAGATTACTTTGGCTCTTTAGGGATGTGTGGAGGCAGCACAATATAATTGGATGGTCCCAAACTTGGAGTCCAGAGGCACGTTTCAGATTCACAACTTTATGAGATATGTGATCTTGTTATGTTTACTTGACCTCTCTAAACTTGTGTTTCAGGTCAGTAAAATGAGGAGAGTTACAGTTGCTCTACCTTCACATTATTGATGTGAAAATCAAGTAAAATCTTTACTAATTGAGAGATCTTAATAGTTAATTGCATATTAAGTAAAACAAAAGGAAAACTCAAATTTCTAAATTTTAGTTACAACTAATGTTAGCTAATGTCCTGGCCACTTTCTTTTCTAGTAGCTCACTTATCTGTAGTGTCATAAGCCGATGGCATCTGTACAATTCCCTAGAGGTTACATTTCTGTATCATTCACAGTAACTACCTAGTTGCAGACAATTAGTAACTCAAAGAGTCTTAAAATGAGAAAGTGAATGACCTATGGAGTCCTCATGTTCTCCAAGATGGCCTTCCTGCCTAGTAGGAAGATTTAAATACCAGGAGGGAACTGGGAACTTCTTGTTACTACTTCTTTCCTGCTTCTCAAAGAAATGAGAATTGGTATTCACTTAATTTGAACCTTTTGGAGGATCCAGGCCAATATATTAAATTACAATGAAAAAATATTTAGTAAACAGCAGTTATTTAGTTTAGTGTTTACTGTGTGTTTGGCAGTAAATATGAGAATTTTAAGTCTTTTTAAAATTTTAAGTTCAAAATGCTGATTAACAATTATGAAGAATGCTTGTCATGTTAAGGAAAGAACATATTATCTTGGTGATACCAGGTCCAGAAAAGTCTACTACTCAGTTGAATAGATTTATTACTTACTACAGTTTTGTGTTTCTAAAATCTTTAAACTAACTGCTAATACTGATAATACTTGCTCCCTAACTTTTGTTTCAGTTAGCTTTTAGGAGAGAATTTTAAAAGAAATTTCTAGCTGCTCAATTCTGAATACTTTCATTAATTCACAAAACTGTTAATAGATACTGTGTTTTTACTTTTAGCTCTTTTGGAAGAAGAAAGAAAAGCATATCGAAATCAAGTTGAGGAATCCACTAAACAAATACAGGTTCTTCAAGGTACGGAAGTCCCCAAGGCTGTTTGAGATGGTTATTATGTGTTTGTTTTTAGTGATTCAAAAGAAATGGAGGCCCGGTACAGTGCTGGGATTACACACCTGTAATCCCAGCATTTGGATGCATCACCTGAGGTCAGGAATTCAAGACCAGCGTGGCCCACATGGCAAACCCCTGTCTCTACTAAAAATATAAAAATTAGCTGGGCATGGTGGCGCATGCCTGTAATTTCAGCTTCTCTGAGGCAGGAGGATCACTTCAGGAGGCAGAGGTTGCAGTGAGCTGAGATTACACCACTGTACTCCAGCCTGGGAGACAGAGCAAGACTCCATCTCAAAAAAAAAAAAAAAAAAGGAATGAAAAGTAAGAAAGCAGAGAGTCCCCATTAATCATGGCTTTGATTCTCTAGAACCTCACATTTTAACATAGCTCTTGGTGGAGCTTTATTTATTTATTTTTTTAAAGAAAATTCCAGGGAAGATGGTCCAGTACTCCAGTATTTAGACAGAGTGGAAAAAGCAGAGGTGAAGATTTGGAGTTGGTAAGACTGTCACTCTCTGGGTTATGTCATGAGTTCCTACAGAGGGCCTTTGGATAGGAAATCTATTCGAGCCACTCTGCATCAGCACTTTGAGCTTGCTGGTATATGTATATATTCATTGCTCGTGTAGATATATTGACATCTAATGCTCACAACACACTTGTATTTCAAGAAAAATTATATATCACATGGAATAGGATAATGATCTCTGCACTGACTTCATTGATAATGGCTATTCTTCTTATCACAATTTTGCTATTTCTTTGTCTGGGCTATCACAGGGTCATTACAGAAGTTTCCAGAAAGACTTCTGCCTGTCGAGTGTTTACTTCAAGCCGGAGCTCCTGGTGTATTATGAGGAGATTGTATGATAACCCAGGAGTGGTCTTTCTTTCCCATGCCGTTGTAAAATTCCTAAATTTTTTTGCCTTCTTGTCAAAGAAGAAGCTAATGTCTTAAAATTTTAGCTTGAGAAATGGGTGGGGAAGAAATTAAATAGACAAGTAATCACTATTCAGAAGAGAAGGAAGAGTCATTATGTGAAACCTGAGATACTTGCCCAAAAATATCCCAGAGAAAAACTAGTCTTTTTGGTTTTGTTTTTTGAGTGAGACATTTGAATTATTTAAAATTAGAATTTCTAAGGTATGTCATATGTGGTCATGTTTTTTGTTTTGTTTTGTTTTTTGAGACAGAGTTTCGCTCTTGTTGCCCAGGCTGGAGTGCCACGGCTATATCTTGGCTCACCGCAACCTCCACCTCCCCGGTTCAAGTGATTTTCCTGCCTCAGCCTCCCCAGTAGCTGGGATTATAGGATGCACCACCACGCCCGGCTAATTTTTTGTATTTTTAGTTAGTAGAGATGGGGTTTCTCCATATTGGTCAGCCTGGTCTTGAACTCCTGATCTCATGATCCGCCCTCTTCTGCCTACCAAAGTGCTGGGATTACAGGCATGAGCCACCGTACCCAGCCTGTCATATGTGTTTTTAAATGGAAAGCTCTTAAAACTCCTATTGTAGTTTAATACCATTACCCATTGGTTTATATAAATCTGATTTGAATCTCTATTTTCATCCTAGACTGTGTAGGGGCAATTTTTCCTAAAGGTTCTGTGACATAGTGTTGCCTTTTGTTTTAAACCTGTCTTGCCCAAGCATCATTGAGTGCCCCCTAGTGCCAGCATGTGTTAGCATGTGTATTTCACAACTGTATCAACAAATCATGATCATTTCTGGCCATTGTGCCCTTTCAGATTCCAAACTTATTACCTCTCAATCCTTCCTACAGACTTAGTTTAATATCTTCTTAATGTTTACTTACATAGCAACTTCCTTTTCTCCCGCCACTAAATTCTCTTATAATTATTTTCCTTTGAAACTTTTTAAATCTACAATTTCCTTATAATATGGTAACCAAGATTAATTTTCTTATTCTGCATCAAGTTTTTTTTTTGTTGTTGTTGTTGTTTTGTTTTGTTTTGAGATGGAGTTTCACCATGTTGGCCAGGGTGGTCTCAAACTCTTGACCTCAGTTGATCCACCCATCCTGGCCTCCCAAAGTGCTAGGATTACAGGTATGAGCCACCACACCCAGCCCACCAAGTTTGATTTTATACAAGTTGTTTCCGGTTTGGGTCAGGAGCACAAAGCCAGATATTTAAAAAAAAAAAAAATATATATATATATATATATATATATATACTGCTTCAATGAGGTGGTATTCATTAATTTTATTAACTCATTAATTCAACCAATAATTCTTGATTGTTTTCTATGTCAGATATTGGGATATCCCCAGTACTTTACAGCCTTGAGCAAAACAAATGTCCTACACACATGAGGTATACAGTCTAGTAGAAAAGATAAACAGTAAGCAAATTAATAGATAATATGATGTCCAATAAGGACTTCAGAGAAAAATAAAGCAGAGTAAAGAGCCAGAGAACAACAGTAGGCTGTTTTCTTATAAGAAGTCATCAGAAAAGGCATCTTTAAAGAATTGACATTTGAACAGAAAAATTGATTGAGCATCAGCTGTTTAATGCTTACCATTTGACCAAGCAATTCTACACATAGGATTTACCCTAAAAAAAAAGAAAATAGTATGGTATATAGTGTTTAAAAACTGAACAGCCTAAAATACCAAAAATAAAGGGTTGGGCAAATAAGTTATATATACCATAACTATTTTTTGTTGAAAGTTTCATCATACTCTAGCTCTCTCCTGAATATTAAAAAAAAAAAGTTTCATCAACTGAAGGATGGGGAACACTGTATATATTATGTTCACTCCCTATTTAAGGTTTGTTTTTATATATGTATAAATGTATAGAAAAAAATCTAGAAGGATAAATACCAAAATGTTAGAAGTAATTTTCTGTGTGTTGGGGAGATTAAGATCACTGGTTTTTTTCCTCTTTGATATATATATTTTGACATTTTCTGCATCAAATGTGGATTTTTTATACACTTTAATCAAAAGCAACAGCTCTGACAACCCAGGCTATGCATTAAGTACAAACCTGTATGGACTGTTCTTTTATTTCTAATTTCAATGGGCCAAGAAAATGATGGATATACTTTTGCAGCCCAGTTGCAGAGGTTACACATCAATATTGAGAATCTCCGGGAGGAGAAGGACAGAGAAATCACAAGTACTAGAGATGAATTGCTTAGTGCCCAAGATGAAATTTTGCTCCTTCATCAAGCAGCAGAAAAGGCTGCCTCTGAGCGGGACACTGACATTGCCTCTTTACAAGAAGAGCTTAAGAAGGTGAGAGCTGAGCTTGAGCGGTGGCGGAAAGCAGCATCTGAATATGAGAAAGAAATCACAAGTCTGCAAAACAGTTTTCAGCTTAGATGTCAACAGTGTGAGGACCAGCAGAGAGAGGAAGCAACAAGGTTGCAAGGTGAATAAATGTATTTTACGTAAAACTCTTAACGTTTGACATTGATAACTTCATAACTTGTTTAAAAAAAAAGCATGCAGGTTTTACAGACTTTTTTTTCTTTGATAGCAATCAGTTGTATAATCCAGTGTTTCTATATCGGAGCTAAAAATGTATTTTCAGGTCTGCAAGTTCTACTTAAAAATTTATATATTTTTACAGTTTTATATTTTATTTTTAAATTGTTAAAAATTGCTTGCCTTATAAAAGTGAAGTCGAAAAAAATACTATTCTAGTACGAGCTGATATCACTTCCTGAGGTATACATGCAAAGTAACAGGAATCAAATAATTAACCATGTAAAATGTACATGCTTTTAAGGGGAAAAATGATGTTCTTCTCTGAAACATTTTTCTTTATCCTTTGAAATATTATGGAAGTTATGTGTCTGTATTAACAAATATGTTTTGGGACTATTTTAGGTGAACTGGAGAAGTTGAGAAAGGAATGGAATGCATTGGAAACAGAATGCCATTCTCTAAAAAGGGAAAATGTTTCACTATCATCAGAACTGCAACGGCAAGAAAAAGAATTGCACAAGTATGCGAGAACTCTGTTTTTCAGATATAAATATTTCTTTAACTTAAATTTTCATCTAAATTAAATTTAATTTTAATATTTAAATACTTTACATGAGCAAATGTTCAGCCAGTCTCTGTTTGGCTATTTGGCAGGTTAACCATACTGAATAAATACTTAAGCTTTTTTTTTTTTTCCTTGCCACCACCATTATCCTGCATGTTCTTTCCTTGTATTCATGGAATACAGATTCATTAAATGTCCCAAGGAAACCCTGAACAAACAACAGAAGTCTGTAATTCATAGTTGAACTTGCCCTAAAAGTTAATAAATTTTAAATATCAATTGCTTTTATTTCACACCAGTGATCTCTTCTTTTAGTAAGGATGATCAGGAAGTGACTGCGATGAAGAATTTGTAAGGCTGGGTGCAGGGGCTCACACCTGTAATGCCAACACTTTGGGAGGCCGAGGTGGGAGGATCACTTGAGCCTGAGAGTTCAAGATCATCCTGGTCAACATGGCAAAACCCTGTATCTACAGAAAAATACAAAAATTAACTGGGTGTAGTGGCACATGCTTGTAGTCCCAGCTACTGGGAAGGCTGACGTGGGAGGATTGCTTGGGCCCAGGAGCTCAAGACTACAGTGAACCACAGTCATGCCCCTGCACTCCAAGCTGGCTGACAGAGCCAAATCCTGTATCAAACAAGCCAACAAAACAGAAGAGGAATTTGTGCTATTGAAAGATAGAAATTAATTTTCTGAATTTCAAATAGGGTTATATGAAGAATAATACATAAGACCAAGAAGTCTCTGAAACCTGTTAAATCTTTCTAGAATTTAATACTTTACAAGCAAATCAGTGAATGCATTAGATTTATTCCAGCAAATTTAGTGGAATTTGCCATATTTAAGTTTAAAATTGGTATATTCTGGCCAGGCATGGACAACATTATTAAACTCCATCTCTACAAAAAATACAACAAAGTAGCTTGGCCTGGTGGCATGTGCCTGTAGTCCCAGCTACTCAGGAGGCTGAAGTGGGAGGATTCCTTGAGCCCAGGAGGTAGGGACTGCAATAAGCCATGATCACACCACTTTACTCCAGCTTGGGTAACAGAGCCAGTCCCTGTCTTAAGAAAACATAAATAAAAATAAAAATAAATGTTTTAGTTTGTTTATAACATGTAAAACTTTATAAAAGCAATTCCAAAATATGAATGGGACAAAATAAAGGTCAAGACTATAAATATATATATGATATATATCATATATGAAATATACATGAGATATATACATATCTCATATATATCTATATATAATTTTTTTTTTTTTGAGGCAGAGTCATGCTCAGTTGCCCAGGCTGGATTGCACTGGCATGATCTCAGCTCACTGCAACCCCCACCTCTGCCTCCTGAGTAGCTAGGATTACAGGCATGCACCACCACGCCTGGCTAATTATTTTTGTATTTTTATAGAGATGGGGTTTCATCCTGTTGGCCAGGCTGGTCTCCAGCTCCTTACCTCAAGTGATCCACCCACCTTGGCCTCCCAAAGTGCTGGGATTACAGATGTAAGCCACCTCACCTGGCCTATATATAAAAATTAAGGAGGCTGGGTAGAGTGTCATGTACCTATGATCCCAGCTACTTAGGAGGCTGAAGCAAAAGGATCACTTAAGCCCAGGAGATCAAAAGTAGTGAGCTGTGATCACGCCACAGCACTCCAAACTGGGCAACAGAGCAAGACTCTGTCTTTAAAAGAATAAATAAATAAAATAAGGAATGAATTGATTATCTGTGTGACAGCACATTTGAATAAATTGTTTGGTATGAAGTGTGCATAAGACTATGATGCAGATACCTAAGTTCTTTACATTTAGAACACATTAGGATCTTAATACTGTTTAGTTTAATAATCTGTCAAGCAAGAAATACCCACTTTTTTTTGCCAGTGTTCCTTATCTTAGTTATTGTTTTGAAATCATTAATATTTTATTAAAGATTCAGGCTAGATCCCTTATTTTTAAGATGTGATTAATTGGAATCTGGCAGGTTATTAAATGCTGTTTTCAATTATTTCAAGTTTTAAGTGTAGAAAAGCAAGCCTACAAACTCCTTGTGAGTAGAGCATATGGTTTAAAAATATTAGACCCCAGAAAGGTGGAATATATTAGATCATTGGTCAAATCATCTGCCTAAACTCACCTAAAGTATTTAAGACAGATTAATTCTTTTTCTTAAACTTTTCTGATGCCCCAAATTTACTTGATTTACTCCCCAGCATTTAAGTAGTATTTAGAAGCTAGTTTTCCTTTACAGGGTCTTATGTGCCATTTAATTCCTAGCTGTATTGGCTTGACAACATCAGACCCACTCAAAAGAATCTGTGAAGCATACAATCAGAACAGGATTCAGACTGTACTAGTTCAGTTACAGTAGTGAGTGTGATTTTTGATTGATCCATTTTGAAAGATGTAAAACTGTCACCTTGAAAACCTTACACTCCTATAGCTGTGTAGGGGAGCCAAATTCCCTTACACAGCTATACTATACAGACCTTTTATTCTCTGTTATCTGGGCTATGGAAGAAGGAATTGAACAAGGAATTTCTAGTCACACATATCAAACTGTTCTCCTCATATATTTTAAGTCAGATTTTTTTAACATCAAATTATAAAAGTGATCATAGAATTTAGCCTTGGAAACAGCCTCAGAAGTTAATGAGTTCAATCCTGTTACTTGGCAGGGAGGGACATTGAGACTGGCCTTGTGTTAGTTATGTCTGTATAACATGGTACCTGATACAGGTCTAAGAGCTCAGAAAATGTTTACTCTGTAAATGAAATGTACCGGTTAAGTGACTTGCTTAACATCCCCCAGCTAAACAGTAGCAGAGCTGGGGGTTCTAGAACTCAGCCTCCCACTTCTTTGACTTATGCTCTTTTCTTAATTTGGTGTGTCTTCTCATTTGAATAGGTTTATCTTTACTTGAGTTGGCAGTGGCTCCTAAGCTTTAAGTTTCTGACCCCCATTCTATTTGTCAAATACTTAAACTTATGAGAAATTGTTGAAATAGTTGTATTCTTTTCCTATAGAAGACCTACACTGAATCTTATTATAAAATTAATACAGTTTGATACAACAAAATATACAGTTGGCCGGGCGCGGTGGCTCAAGCCTGTAATCCCAGCACTTTGGGAGGCCGAGGCGGGTGGATCACGAGGTCAACAGATCGAGATCATCCTGGTCAACATGGTGAAACCCCGTCTCTACTAAAAATTACAAAAAGTTAGCTGGGCACGGTGGCGCGTGCCTGTAATCCCAGCTACTCAGGAGGCTGAGGCAGGAGAATTGCCTGAACCCAGGGGGCGGAGGTTGCGGTGAGCCGAGATTGCGCCATTGCACTCCAGCCTGGGTAACAAGAGCGAAACTCGGTCTCAAAAAAAAAAAAAAAAAATATATATATATATATACAGTTAATTACCTTCTATTTCTTTTCTTTTTTTCATTTTTCAACCTTTGTGTATATTTGATGGGACACACCTTTAAACTTGCATTTTTTTAGTGTTTTGATGCCTTTTGCTTATTGAATGAAAATATTTCATTCTTTTTTATACTTTTCTTTTTTTCTCTGAAATCCACTCTGTCTCTTCTAGTGAAATGTATAAGAAATTGGACTTCTTTCTGTGTTCAGTTTCTACTGTGAATAACTATCTGTCAATATTTATATTGCAGTTCTCAGAAGCAGAGTTTAGAGCTTACCAGTGATCTCAGCATCCTTCAGATGTCTAGGAAAGAGCTTGAGAATCAAGTGGGATCCTTGAAAGAACAGCACCTTCGGGATTCAGCTGATTTAAAAACTCTTCTCAGTAAGGCTGAAAACCAAGCAAAGGATGTACAGAAAGAGGTAAAGCAAAAAGACATTATAAGCCCAATTATGGTTGGACTTAAAGCCAAAAGCAAATCAGATATCCATGCTAGTTAGAAATAAAGGGAAGCAGAAGTTACATTACCCGTCACAAAATTGATACTTGGAACATCTCTGCTTGGTGATTTCTAGCTGCGTATTATGGTCCATATAGACAGAATTCTTCAAGTAGGGTTGGTCTCAAAAATATGAATATACGAAACTACATTTTAATTTTTCTCTACCAGTTAGTTCAGTTATATGAGAAACCCTTTGTATCAGGTCTCTTGATTTATTGTTTAACTTTCAAAGAGAATATTGTATGTAACTTAGTTGGAAAGCAAACTGAGGCCATAATATAATGCTGTCTGAACCCCTCAGGTAAATAATGGCCTGACAAGTTATTAAAATTCACCTCATAGCCAGGCAGCCAACCAGACACATGTTCTGTGGCGTTTTACTTTCTTCCTCCTACCCCCTTTTCACCTTATTCATAAATGTGCATGCTCACTTTTCATGTCATTCTGCTTAAAACCTTGACTTGAGTGGTGCTTTTTAAAAATTTGTGTTGAAGTCATAAAGGTTGACTTTGGAACAGAAACCCTACCCAATTTCTTCCTGAGCAAGATAAGTATATTTCACTTCCCAAAGCCTTGAAGTTGACAACAGGGCAGTAAGAGCTGCCTTCAGTCCTGCTGGCCTCATACCACTCCCTGCATTGACTCCTGGCCAGCTCGGGAGATGAGGAAGGCTGATACAACTTGATCTACAGATCAAGGACCACCCCCGTTGTAGACTTTCTTAAAAGGTTTCTTTATGAATTAGAAGGAAGTTGAAGACAACTCTTTGTCTTTGATATTAAATGAACTTTCCCAAAGTTGTTTCTTGAAGATCTGCTTAATCAATGCAGTTTTTCTTTGCACTTTTCTTTCCTTGTAGTTTCCTCAATTTGGCAATGATTGTTTTTCTTCTGTCTTCATGTTTGTTCCTAATGAAAAAATACTGTAAAATTTTTTAAATTTCTTGTGGACATATTGATTTTGTAATGTGTTCATTTTTACCTTACTAAAGATATGTGTTTTAGAAGAAATCTCATTTTATTTGGTTGGAACACAAATTTTGTGCCAAAGTAAATATCTTAGTATTTAATACTGTAAGCACTTTGTGTCCTTCCAGTCCATATGCTATAATTCTTTCAAACTCTGGGAAGAATGCTGTGGTTGGAAGATGATTCTGTTGTGTGTTACTATGAACGCATTAGCCATTTTGTTGCATTAATTGTTTGCCTGTTTGTGGTCACCGAGTAATCAGTGCAAAATGCTTTAACTGTTTCCACAAATGGCAGTGGCATGTTGTCACAGCATCTAAATTGTTGATAGTCTTGGATTGCATTAAATGCAGCACATTTAAAAATATGTCTGATCTTGTTGGTATGTTTCTTTTCTATTTTCTTGTTCACCGTTTTCCATTGTGAAATGATGTGTACTCATCACACTCCTTTGTAATGTGAAATTGCTCTTTCTGTTTGTCCAGATGTCAACATGTTGGATACTATATACTATAGTTTAGTTATAGCTATATACTATAACTAAAATGTTCTTTAATAAGGTTCCTATCTCTCTGTAATCCACTGCAAAGGAATTATTGCCTTTTATTAATGCACATATATTCCCCTTCAACATTGCCCCTTTGTTCTCCTTTCTTTCACAGAGTCATGCTTAATATGCACAGTATCTAATTATGTATTGTCAGCGTTGTAACAGGCTAAGATATTACAAGCTAAGCAAGCCCAGATAAGATTCTTCTTATGAAGAACAACCAAAGGTGTTGGTAATATTGTGTGATATTTCCCTCTTAATCAGGACCAAGCTCATTTGTCACCTAAGAGTTAGCAAGATGGAGCAAAAATGATATCCAAAGCAAGGCTGCAATAGGTGACCTTTGTTCCACAAATTAAAATTTATATATGTGGCAGCTTTTATATGAATATTTCACAAATAAAAAGTACATGCAAAAAGTAAATCTTGGCCGGGCATGGTGGCTGACACCTGTAATCCCAGCAGTTTGGGAGACCAAGGCAGGCGGATCACCCGAGGTTAGGGGTTCAAGACCAGCCTGACAATATGATGAAACCCTGTCTCTATTAAAAATACAAAAAGTAGCCGGGTGTGATGGCATACGCCTGTAATCCCAGCTACTCAGGAGTCTGAGACAGGAGAATCACTTGAACCAAGGAGGTGAAGGTTGCAGCGAGCCGAGATTGTACCACTGCATTCTAACCTGGGTGACGGTGAAACTCCATCTCAAGAAAAAAAAAGTAAATATTAATCCTCAGTATTAAAAGAAAATAATGATATGTCATCTTTATATTTTGCTTTAGAAAGCATCAATATATCTTGCAGTAAAACAAAGAAAATAAAAAAAGAAAGCATCAGTATATTTTAATTTAGTAGGAATATCTGTAATTTAAGAATTCATAGGCTGGGTACAGTGACTCACACCTGTAATCCCAGCACTTTGGGAGGTTGAGGTGGGTGAATCACCTGAGGTCAGGAGTTTGAGACCAGCCTGACCAACATGGAGAAACCCTGTCTATACTAAAAATTTATAATTAGCCAGGCATTGTGGCACATGCCTGTAATCCCAGCTACTCGGGAGGCTGAGGCAGGAGAATCACTCGAACCTGGGAGGTGGAGGTTGTTTGTGATGAGCCAAAATCATGCAATTGTACTCCAGCCTGGGCAATAAGAGCAAAACTCTGTCTCAAAAAAAAAAAAAATATAAAACATTGAGCACACAGTCCACCCTGTAAACACTGACTCAAGAAAGTTATTTGGCTTCATCTTCTTGCCATGGGGCCAGAGTCCTTGCCACTTTCTCACATGCTGGAGGTAAGCAACAGGATCCCCCTGGTTGAGCTGCCTTCCTGTGGTTCTGGTTCACAACTCCTGGAATGGAGAAATGATTAATTGCTTTGGTGCACAGGGCAGACTGAATGTAAGAATGGCGGAAAAGGAAAGTAAGGGAAAACTTGTCGATAAAGCACTTTTTACTTATTCTTTATTAATCACTGTTAAGAATCAGATCATGGGTCATTGAGAATTTACTATGTTCTAATTTGCAGAAACTAGTGTACGTACACTGACTTTGCCTTGGCAGTATGCCAGTAATCTTTTGCCTTCTGGTAGGAAGTCCACAGACCCTCACACCAATTGAAAAAAGTTATCATAAAGCCCATGAATTTTACTCCTTTAGTTCATTCTCTGGCATACTATCCAGGCTTGTTGTGGGAATATTGTTAGGTAACAGGGAATATCTTTCATATTTTACCTCCCTCTCTGTACCCATGTCTTTCTTCTCTTTTTCTGGTGACCTCTGTGTTGACCCTAAGCCTCATCTCTCCTGTCTAATGTTTTTATGCATTTACATTCCTTCTTAATATTTATCTTTGTTGAGCATAATGATGGGCTTCTAAATTAGTCATTCTAAGGTATTTGTATTTTTGAGAAGCACTGTTATAAAGGTTTCCTTTATTGAAGAATTTATAGGATATAGGTAGAAAGGAACTGGAAACTTTCTACCCTCATGGGCTGTATTTAGGGATAAGGAGGAACCTTTCTGGTATGCCTTACCCATGGTATATTTATTTTATATTCAAACTTTGTCTGTCTTCCTTCTAAAACCTTCAGAGATGGCAAAGTGGGGCCGGGTGCAGTGACTCATGCCTGTAATCCCACCACTTTGGGAGGCCAAGGTGAGTGGATCAGTTGAGGTCAGGAGTTTGAGACCAGCCTGGCCAACAAGGTGAAACCCCATCTCTACTAAAAATACAAAAAAAATTAGCCAGACATGGTGGTGCATGCCTGCAGTCCCAGCTACATGGGGGTCTGAGGCATGAGAATCCCTTGAACCTGAGAGGTGGAGGTTGCAGTGAGCCAAGATTATGCCACTGCACTCCAGCCTGAGTGACAGAATGAGACTCCATCTCAAAAAAAAGAGAGACAGAGATGGCAGAGTGGGGCAGCAAAGTGGAGACAAAGGCACAGCCAGCAGCAGAACAGTCTCTGCTTTGACTGTGAGCCCAGCTTGCATGTAAGATGCAATATCTCAAAGTGGAACTAGTCTAGAATTTCAGCCTCCTGGCATCATTTAAAGTAGTGGTAAGCCATATGTTTCACATTGGTCTTACTTTTAAAAGGCAGCTAGTCTTTAAAAAGATTCGACTCTACCTGAATATCAAATTATGTACAGTGAATTGTTTTTCAGAGCAGAAAATTACATGTTTAATATTTAAAAATTTCTGCCAGAAACAGGTGGGACGTGGTGGCTCATGCCTGTAATCCCAGCACTTTGGGAGGCAAGCCAAGGCAGGCAGATCACCTGAGGCCAGTAGTTCGAAACCAGCCTAGCCAACATGGTGAAACCCCATTTCGACTAAAAGTACAAAACATAGCTAGACATGGTAGCAGGCACCCGTAATCCCAGCTACTCAGGAGGCTGAAGCAGGAGAATTGCTTGAACATGGGAGGTGGAGGTTTCAGTGAGCTGAGATCACACCACTGTACTCCAGTCTGGGTGACAGAGTAAGACTCCATCTCAAAAAATAAATAAATAAAATAAAAATAAAATTTATACCAGAAACAGATTTTTTTTAAATTACATTTAGTTGATACCTTAGTTTTTTGTTTTGGTTTGTTTTTTGAGATGGAGTTTCACTCTTATTGCCCAGGCTAGAGTACAGTGGCTAAATCTCAACTCACTGTAACCTCTATCTCCCAGGTTTAAGCAACTCTCTTGCCTCAGCCTCCCAAGTAGCTGGGATTATAGTCATGCACCACCATGCCTTGCTAATTTTGTATTTTTAGTAGAGATGGGGTTTCTCCATGTTGGCCAGGCTGGTCTCGAACTCCTGACCTTAGGTGATCTGCCCACCTTGGCCTCCCAAATTGCTGGGATTACAGGTATGAGCCACCATGCCCGTCTGATGCTGAAGTTTGAAGTAGAAGAATAGGTATTTCCCAGTAATAATGGTGTGTACTTCAGATACATTTATTTTCTTCATTTGCCTAGAAAATTCACTTATCCAGAACACTTTAATACCAATAATGCTGGGTAAAGGAAAACCTATTGGGAATTAATACTTTTTTTTTTCTTTTTGTTCCCATACTAGGTGGAGGAATTACTTCCAGAGTAATTTTTACTTCAAGAGTAAAATAGCTTGGCTGACACTGCTTACCATGATACAAACTCAGGCTTCCTAACATTGCCATTTAATTAGGCTATGGGATTTTTCTTCACCCACTTTTCTTTTGCTCAGTTTGAAATTTTCCTTTTCTCCTATACCCATGTGGTAGAAAAAGTGATCCTTCATATTAAAAACAGATGACAAAATGATTACTCTTAATTTTTTTTACTCCAGGGCCAGAAGATTCTTACATAGAATCAAGTCAACATTAAAGAGCCTCACTCTTTTTTTTTGTTTGAGCTGGAGTCTCACTCTGTCGCCCAGGCTGGAGTGTTCAATGGTGCAATGTCAGCTCACTGCAACCTCCACCTCTCAAGTTCAAGTGATTCTACTGCCTCAGCCTCATGAGTAGCTGAAATTACTGGCGCACGCCACCATACTTGGCTAATTTTTGTATTTTTAGTAGAGATGGAGTTTCACCATGTTGGTCAGGCTGGTCTCGAACCCCTGGCCTCATGATACGCCCATCTTGGCCTCCCAAACTGCTGGGATTATAGGTGTGAGCCACTGCGCCTGGCCAAAAGACTTCTTCTTATGAGTGCAAGTTATTCCTCCTTAAACAAACATACTTGTCTTTAGTGTTCCACGTGACTAAATAGGATCTGGCATATAAGCCTGACTAGAACCATACCTTCATACTCATTTTAAGTTGAATCTGCACACTTTTTTTTTCTTTGCCTTTAGTATGAAAAGACACAGACTGTACTCTCAGAACTGAAGTTGAAGTTTGAAAAGACTGAGCAGGAAAAGCAGTCAATCACAGATGAGCTCAAACAATGTAAAAACAACCTGAAGCTGCTCCGAGAGAAAGGAAATAATGTAAGTCTTTGCAAACTTGGCTTAGCTTTGATTGAGAGGCAGATTAGAGATTGAAATTGATTTTCAGAGCACTTTATCACTGATTTATGAAGCAAATGGTACAAATGAAATAAGCTTTCAATTATGAAATTCCATGACAGAATCATTATGCTGTCAAATTTTTGAAAAAAGAATTTGTACCTTTAACCTATACCCCAGAAGAGCCTCAGGACTGCCTGGAGGAAGAGCCTTGTTTGCAATAAAGCAGCTTGCCTAAGAACTGTCAGCTTTTCCCAAATAAGTCTGAAGCTCTATCACTAAGCCATTGTCTGGCTCTTGTTTCTGCCCTGCTGGGAAATGAAGCACTGTACTACCAGCGACCCATTTAAGAGACAGTAGTACATGTTGATAATTAGCATTTGGCTATATCAAAAAAATCAAGACTTATTATTAATGGTTTTCATTATATACCAATAATGTTCTCACTGAGGCACAATTTCTAAAAAGCTTAGTGTCTCTTTTGCGTTCTGTAAGTATTAGAAAGTATTTGGTGAGTTTCTGTAGGGCTGTGAGAGAGAAAGAGACAGATGAAGATTTTGGTATAAATTGAGTTTAATTTTTTTTGTTTTTCATTTGCTAGAAAAATGGTCTTTAAAAAGATGTTATACTAAATTAATGTTGTGTTGTATGTTTTGGTGATCATTACCTTTGTGGGCCCTAACTGATAGATGTTTAGTGTGGTTGGTTGTGCTCTCACTTATTTGAAACTGCTGTCATGGCTTGGACACTGCAGTGTGCCTGAGCCGCATGCTTCCTATGAGGAAGCCACTCTGCTTACCCTGCAGCACAAGTACAAAAGAGTGATGTTGCATGGCCATCCTGTTATTCATTTGCACACAGAATGCTCATGAGTTGTGTCCAATTGTCCTTTGCAGTTTGTAGACAATAAAGGTTTGCTGCTTAGGTAGAAGCCTTTTAGAAGTTGATGAACTGGGTGTGGAGGCTTTATGCTAAGCAAAAATGGTTCACATTTACTTTTCAAAATGTAGGTTACAAACTCTTCTAAAATCAGATCATAATGGTTTGGTTACTTCTCTCTTTTGTATTAATTCATATCCCTGGGATTATGGAATTTCAGTCTACTGCTAAATTAACCTATGAAGACATCTAGCATAATCAGAATGGATCCCCCTGCACTATTTAGAACCTTTTCTAAAGTAACTTTGCAGCCAGGCGCAGTGGCTCATGCCTGTAATCCCAGCACTTTGGGAAGCCAAGGCAGGAGGATTGCCTGAGGTCAGGAGTTCAAGAACAGAGAGAGTTCATTCTTGTTGCCCAGGCGTTATCTCGGCTCACCACAACCTTCGCCTCCCGGGTTCAAATGATTCTCCTGCCTCAGCCTCCTGGGTAGCTGGGATTACAGGCCTGTGCCACCACACCCGGCTAATTTTGTATTTTTGGTAGAGACGGAGTTTCTCCACGTTGGTCAGACTGGTCTCGAACTCCTGACCTTAGGTGATCTGCCCACCTCAGCCACCCAAAGTGCTGGGATTACAGGCATGAGCCACTGTACCCAGCGCTGCCTGTCTTTATATACCAAACCTTTATCACATATTGTTAGATTTCTTGCCTGATTTAGGAAACATGCAGTATCACCGGGCATTTATTTTTAAGCTGGAAAGCAGTACAATCTAATAAGCAAAAGCTTTGGTTGAAAAAAAGAAAAGATTTTGCTAGAAGGATAAAATAACCCTTAACCATTGCTGAGGGAATACATTGTCAAATAATGGGTTTCAGGTATCCAGCAAAAATGTGTACTATCAAGCAGAGAGTATCAGCTAGCAGTGAAGTGTTGGTCATTATTTGTTTTGTTTTTTTTGTTTTTTTGTTTTTTTTTGAGACCAGGTCTTGCTCTGTCACCCAGGCTGGAGTGCAGTGGCATGATCTCAACTCACTATAGCCTTCACCTTGACCTCCCCAGCTCAAGCGATCCTCCCACCTCAGCTTCCCAAGTAGCTAGAATTACAGACGTGTGCCACCATGTCCAACTAATTTATTTTTTGTAGGGACAGGGTTTCACCATGTGATACAGACTGGTCTCAAACTCCTGGCCTTAAGCAATCTGCCCACCTCAGCTTCCCAAAGTGCTGGGATTACAGGCATGAGCCACCGTGCCTGGCTTGCTCTGTCTTCATGTGCTACATTAGAATGTTAGGAATACCCACATTGCCCATTGCCTTCAGCTGTTTCTTTTTTTCTTTTTTTGAAATGGAGTCTCACTCTGTCACCCAAGCTGGATTACAGTGGTGTGATCTCAGATCACTGTAACCTCAGCCTCCTGGTTCAAGCGATTCTCCTACCTTAGCCTCCCAAGTAGCTGGGATTACAGGTGTGTAGCACCATGACTGGCTAACTTTTGTATTTTTAGTAGAGACAGCATTTCACCATGTTGACCATGCCAGTCTCAAACTCCTGACCTCAGGTGATCCACCTGCCTCAGCCTCCCAAGGTGCTGGGATTACAGGCATGAACCATCACACCCAGCCTAGCTGTTCCTTTTAAACTGATAGTTTCCCAACTTGCCTACCCCAGTCTATCATTCAGGATTGTTAGATGTCTTTAAAATGTTTGAATCTGTGCAAAACCTGAGTGGTATACTTCTATTACTTCAGTCTTTCTTCCCTGCCTCCCGCCCCACTGGGGTCTGAATCCTCTTATCTGATTATTTTCATAGCATAAAGTGATTTTAATATGCCTTCCCTTCTTTAGCCTTCCATATTACAACCCGTCCCAGCCGTATTCATCGGCCTATTCCTGGCTTTCCTGTTTTGGTGTTTCGGTCCATTGTGGTAGAGAAAGGTACAAGCACTACTGTTGAGTCCTTGTCTGTTTGTTCCCGTCACCTGTTTGTGCCGTATTTGTAAAATAGTGCATGGCAAGAACACACAGGTATTTTGTTACCTGAAGCAAACCCTTCATTTAGTATGCCGTGTATTTGTGTCATACCAGTGAATTCAACAGTCAACTAATCTCATAACTTTTTGTCTTGTTTACTTTGTAGTAATGCTAACCGTGAGTTAATTCCAACCTAACCAGTTGTTAATATGCTTTCTTGAACTGAGTCTTTATCTGTAGCAAACTGGAGTACACTATGAATTTCTGCAATATTAGTACCCTCTTTCCAAGTATGTGTTTAATCAGATTTAAATGAGAAATGAAGAGTTTGCCTCTTTCAAGTTTTCAGCCAGCTTTCTTCCCCTTCCTCCTTATCCTGTTCCTTTTCATAGTGTAGATTTTCTTTGTTTCAACCCTTTCCCTGTTTATACTATGGCTATGGAGATTAAAAAAAAAATGAGATTAGCCTAATGAACCATTGACTTACAATCTCAACCCTAGTATATACTTGCAAGGATATAAACGTATCCCATTTCTTTCTGAGCCCTGACCTGCAACATCAGAATATTTCTTTAAAAGCCAGTTTTTCTCTGCCACAGCTAAAAAAAAAAGAAAGAAAAAGAAAAACCAGTTTTTCTCAATAACACTCTTGGAATACAAGTAAAAATAAAAGTGTCAACCAAAGCAAGTTAATCTTATAAAGCCCTCTTAAAGTTAGCAGGCAACAGCCCGTCCATGCTTGCCTCTAACTGGCATGCATGTTAGTAGAGCATATGAGATGATCATGTGACTTTATTACACTGAACAGTCTTTACCAGAATTATCAGACAGGCAGGATCCCTAATGTTACTTCTCCATCTTGAACCCTACTTGATTTTGTCTTCTGTAGTTTCAGGTTAGAGGACCAAAGACTAGACCATTATCACCTTAGCCACTATCATCCCCTTGAGTAAAATATCCCAACATGGAGTCTGGGTCTAATCAAGAAACATTTTAGGCAGAAACATACTACAGGTGTCTATATACATCAGTTATATTGGAATATATGGATACCAGAGTAAATAAAGCAGGCAGAGCCCACACGTTTTTTTAGAAGTCACTATTAGGTTTCAACTGTATCAAAGTTAAAAACTTCCCAGGACTTTCTTGGGATATATTAGACTTCCAAATTGGTGGTCCTGCTATTATGCCTCTCCTTATACCTGCACTCCCTCACTTCTTTTTTTAACTTTATTTTTATGATGCAAAAATAAGATTTTTCCAGTATTCTGTTAAATATTCAGGACTCTCATAGGTATGAAAAGAGAGGGGAGAATGTGATATTGACTCTTGGTTTCTTTCCACACAGAAACCCTGGCCCTGGATGCCCATGTTGGCTGCCCTGGTTGCAGTAACAGCCATCGTGCTGTATGTGCCAGGTCTGGCCAGAGCTTCTCCATGAGAGCGTTCCTTGAGTCCGTACACCGTCCTCCCTCTAGAAGCTGGCATCATACTCATGCTGGGGACAAACAGAACCATTTTCTTCCTTTTTACCTCTTTTAAAACAGCAGAAGTACAAGAATACAGCTGTAGGGTCATTGCTTTAAATTATATAAAATGTATCTGTCTATAAAGAAGATATAAAATTGTGACTTTATTCTACTGTAAGCAATAATTTGCTTGCAATTTTTCATGTAATTTTTAAATTAGTATGTTGAGATTCTGAATATTATGGTGGCCTAAAGTAGGCTTCTTGGTACACCAGATTATTTATAGCATTAAATTTATGAGTATTTTACTCTGAATTCTGATGACCAGATAATTCATTTTTCTGATTCGATAATTACCCAAACCAAACAACCAGTACATACATGGGAAGAGAGGCCCTGTGTGCTCAGTGCCTATCAGTTTGAAATATATACACATATATATATATTTTTTACATATTTACGCCATTTTTACTTGTTATAAAACCACTGAGCTATTGGGAACAAGACTTAGAGACAACTAATTGCGTGGATTTTTTTTTTTTTTAAGGAAAAATACATTTGGAAAATAAACTGTTATGGTGATAATTTGGGGAATATGTGCACGCTTGTTCAGCCTTAATGAGACTTGAAGATGTGGAGGACATCAACTTTGAAAAACTTTCCATGAGAGTGTGTATTTTCTTGAGCAAACTGAAGTATTTCTGGGAGCAAAAACATAGTAATTACACAATTTCAGTGCAGTCAACCAAACTGTTGAATCAATTGGAATGTAATTTATTATAAACCTCATGTATTTAAAGAGATATTTTTCTTTAAAAGCCAAGTTACTTTCTCATATACAGCATTTTAGGAAGCATGATTTTTTTTCTATCATCTATTCCTCCAAGCATGTTTAATTGAAGAAAGTATTAATATCTCTTCCGATAAGCTTGTATTGACCTAATTTGGTTTATGATGTGTCAGAGCTAATTCATGTTCAGGGTAAGCTGTTGTACCTACCAACAGATTTCCTGGTTGGGTATGCAAATGGTTATTTTCTTTTTATTGTTGTTAATTGGGACTTTCTGTTAATGAAAAGCACTATTCCCAAGATTAATAGTGTTCTATGCACAATGAAGCACCTAAAAACACTGCTTGATGTTATAAATTTAAAACACAGAAGTGAAAGTTTAGCCATGGTTTTGTGTGGCATCATAGTTATGTCCGTAAAGTTTATTTAGGTCATAGAATATCCTAAAGTATCACATAGTTAAATTTTTCAGTCAATGAAGACTGGAAGGGAATGTCAGTGAATTGGCTTGAATGTTCTGTGGCAATCCAGAAGTCTAGCCAAATATTGAAATAGGAGTTTAGGGTATAATTTGCCTTGTGATGTTTGGCAGTCACTGTTTATACTTTAAAGGTTATATTTTAAGCTATTTGGGATTACTGTTGGGAGGATCACTAGATTTATGGAGGAATTAGTCACAAATGACTTGTAAAGAATACTGTCTTATAGTTCATTTCATCATTTTCTGTTGCAGGAAGCCACTCCACCACAGAATGCTAATATGCCAGTGGTACCCAGTACCTCTTGTATATAGGTTATTGCAAATATTGTTCTGAAATGCTTAACTTCAGAATTACATTTTTTAAAGTAAATAATTGTTCTAAATCTATTTTGTAAAGATATAAAGTACAATAGAATTTCTGGAGTACAGATTAAACTATTTGCACTAACACACGTGATGTGCATGATTTAATAAAATAACTTTACTCTCCCTACGCATGTTTGAGTTGAATATCATTGAAGTTCTTAATGCTGACTCTACTGTTGGATTGTTAATAATCTTCTCTTGAAATGACTCTTTATGCAACATAACATACCTTTGGTATTCTTCAGGGTTTAAAAGAAAACAGCTGTTTCCTCCAAGTTTTATTAGCTTTTTATTTAACTTACTACTCCATTTTTTTTTCTCTTTTAATATGGTTATTGTTAAAAAGAAAGTCACTTGCCAGACCAATCTCTTTAAATTTAAGGTGGTCTAGTATCAGTATTTACTTCAAGTGGAATAAATGGCTTTTTGTAGTTACTTCCAATTTTCCTCAAGAATATAAATAAGTCTAGTCTATTTATAAGCAATATCTTCAGTTTTGTTCAGTTCACTTCCAGGTTAAATAAAGAGTAGGATTATTCACTGGTAATATTAGAATCATTAAGAAATGTTAAACACTGCAGCTAGAAATTGAACAACCCTATAGTGATACATTTAAGAATTATTCAAAGGTGCTACATGGCAGGATCAGAATATAAAAAGAACATGGTATTTGAAGCAAAACATCTGTATTGGCATCTTGGTTCTACCTTTTATCAGCTGTTGTTGTCTTGCACAAATCACATTTTGTCTGAGTCTCTATTTTCTCATAACATGGGGAGAATAATACTTATATTTGTGATAGTAGTGTGAACCTTAAAAAGATAATGTATGTGAAGTAACAGTCAAGTGGTGACTAAGTTTTTATGAGAATGTTATACTGAAAAATACAGCAAATATTAAAGTTTTAGGTAAACCAGTACATCTACTTTAATTAAATGAATTAATTGACTCACCCATTAAGAATTTCTGTGTGTGAATGAGATATGTGTGTAACATGAATTCTGAGAAAGTATTATCACTTAGCTCTGTTTGTCGCCTTCATAGTTCACTCTTTTGGAAGTAATATGCTTGGTTTGGTGATGAACCAATTGCCCACAGTAGTTTTGGAATTCCTGTTATTGCCTTCAGAGCCACTTTGAGTCACATGTGAAAACCATTCACAATGCCCTACAGGCAGAGGCTTTCAACCAAAACTAGTATTGCCTACTTGATCTCTCACTTTAATCACTACACTTGACCAAAACCCAGTGACTCTTGGCTGCTTCCATTGACTATTTACTATCAAAAGGATGGGAATCTGCTACCAAAGAGAAAAAACTGCGTACAAATCAACTGATTTAAAACTGCAGCCTTGGCCAGCACAGTGGCTCATGCCTGTGATCTCAGCACTTTGGGAGGCTGATGCAGGTGGATCACCTGAGGTCAGGAGTTCCAGACCAGCCTGGCCAACATGGTGAAACCCCGTCTCTACTAAAAATACAAAACTTAGGCGAGCGTGGTGTCAGGCAACTTTAATTCCAGCTACTGAGGAGGCTGAGGCAGGAGAATTGCTTGAACCTGGGAGGCAGAGGTTGCAGTGAGCCCATATCACGCCACTGCATTCCTGCCTGGGCAACAAGAGCAACACTGTTTGTATGATTGTGGGTAAATGTAAATTCCTTTCACCTTTATGATTTTTTTTTTTTTTTTTTTTTTTGAGGCTGGTCTTGAACTCCTGGCCTCAAGTGATCCACCTGCCTCGGCCTCCCAAAGTGCTGGGATTACAGGTGTGAGCCACCATGCCTGGCCTATTTATTTTTCTGCTATTCTGTGTTGTGTCTCCAGGTTTCATTTATTCATTCATTTAACAAATACTGTCTGATATGAGGCACTGTGCCAGATCCTGACAATATTCAGTCCCTATCTTCATAGAGCTTTTGGTGTGATGGGGAAATACAGGCATGGAAGCTGGAAGTTAAAATACAGTGTGATGGAAGAAGACACTGAAGCCTATGGAACTATAGAAGCATTGGGTGCATTTCTTCTCACCTTCAACCACTCAAACATCCAAGCTGGGGGTATCTGGCTACAGAGCCAAAGGTAAGTTTCCCTTCTAAATTGTCTAAGAAACAGGTCTGGTCTTGATTTTCTTTAAAAAGGCATTGTGACCTGGAAACATTTTTAAAGCTTTGGAATTCTGCCCTGTTAAATGGTTTGAACTATACCTTACGAGTAATAGGTAACTAGTAAAGGATTTTTTTTTAAGCAAAGAAAAAGTGTTTTAGCCAGACAGGCTCTTTGAAAGGAGTCTCCTCTTGAGGAGCTGGGGCATGAATTGGATAGATCCAATAACAAATCCCTTACATATGGAGGCAAGTGCCCACCATGTCTTATTGTTTGTGTTTGTGTTTATTGTGCTGCTCATTCAGTAGATTGAGCAGCACAGGTTTTTTTCCTAAAGATTAAGCACCTTGGCCAGACGTGTTGGGTCATGTCTGTAATACCAGCACTTAGGAGGCCAAGGCAGGCAGATCACCTAAGGTCGGGAGTTTGAGACCAGCCTGACCAACGTGGAGAAACCCCATGTCTACTGAAAATGCAAAATAAGGTGGGTGTGGAGGTACATGCCTGTAATCCCAGCTACTTGGGAGGCTGAGGCAGGAGAATCACTTAAACCCAGGATCGTGCCATTGCACTCCAGCCTGGGCAACAAGAGCAAAACTCCGTTTAAAAAAAAAAAAAAATTAAGCACCTTTTAGCCCAAATCTTAAAATATGTGATTTACCATCATGCAAGGACACTGAGATAAAACCTATAAATCCTACGAAAAAGACATGAGCATTACGAATAAGAAAGGCAAAGGGACCAGAAGAGGGAAAAAGGAACAGAGAAACTTGGTTGTGCTCCTGCTGCTCACAGTGGCTGTTCACTTCACCTTTTCATTTTCACCTTTTGAACTGACCAGAGAATATCTAGGTAGCCAGTTCTACTCTATGAAATTTCATCCTAGGATTTTTCTTTTTTTTTTTTTTTAAAGACAGTGTTTCACCATGTTGGCCAGGCTGGGGTCTTGAACTCCTGAACTCAGGCGATCCACCCGTCTCGGCCTCCCAAAGTGCTGAGATTACAGGCGTGAGCCACCACGCCTGGCCACGATTTTTCTTTATCCTAAATTTTGTGTACTCTTTATCCTAATTTTGTGTACAGTCAGCATCTTGTTCCACATAGAATTGGAAGCAGGCGAGCCTGCTTGGAACAGCATTCTTTTCACTCTTAAATGGCAGGATCCCTTCCTGCTAGACTGAGGATTCTTCCTCACTGCAGATTCTACAAGCAAACAAGGGAGGAGCTGCAAAGGGACTAAAAATCTCAATCATTTCAACTCTTTGAATCTCAGGTTTCTGCCATAAATTGCTTCACTGTGTAATCTTTGCATAGTTATGCCATTTTGGTTTGGGTTGAAAACTTGCTCTGAGATAATTAACCCATACTTACTTAGCCTCCCCACAACCCCTCCTCCTGCACTCCATAGCTAATCTTCAAAGAGTTAATGTGTCTTAAATATCCTAAAACAAATTTATTCTTTATTTTTTTTTTATTTTTAGAGAATGAGTCTTGTTCTATTGACTAAGCTAGTCCTGAACTCCTGGCTTCAAGTGATCCTCTTGCCTCTGGTTGCCAAAGTACTGGGATTGTAGGCGTGAACCACCATGCAGAGTCTTATTTTCTTTAAATAGTGTTTATAGAGCTGATTACATTTTCTTCTACAAAGTAAATTTGGTATGGTTTTAAAGTTGGGCATTCTAATTTAGCACTCTATGTACCTAATAGATCACATTTTTTAAAAATCCGTAAGCGTTTATTCAGTCATGCAACTTTGGCAAATAAAGTTCTTATTTTAAATACTTTTAAATTTTCTGAATTTGAAATACTTTTGCCAAAATTAGGTGGTAAACACATATGTGCTATGTGCACATATTGCCCTTTTTGTCAGTGAAGATGAGTAAGTACTGTGATATCACCTGGAATAAATAGAACCTTCTGGCTGCTTAAGTCCTCTGTCTTTGAATACCTAAAAAAAATACAAAAAAATTAGTCAGATGTGGTGGCACACACCTGTAATTCCAGCTACTTCAGAGGCTGAGGCCTAAGAATCCCTTGAACTGGGGAGGCAGAAGTTGCAGCCGAGATCCCGCCACTGCACTCCAGGCTGGGTGACAGAGCAAGACTCCATCTCAAAAAATAATAAAAATTGTGCAGAAGATATTCAGGGAATGAAAATAAAAGAAAAAAGATTTAAAAAGATAATAATAATAGTAATAGAGTAAAATAAAATACATTTATTTTTCTGGCCTCATTTTATAGCAAAGTCTTCAAAATCCCAGCAACTCTGGAGGCTGAAGTGGGAGGGTTGCTTGAACCCAGGAGTTTGAGACCAGCCTGGGCAACATAGTGAGACCTCCATCTCTAAAAAAATTAAAAGTAAAGGAGCCAGGTTTAGTGGCTCATGCCTGTGGTCTCGGCTGCTCAGGGGGTTAAGGCAGGAGGATCGCTTGAGCCCAGAAGTTTAAGACTGTAGTGAGCTATACTTGCACAGGGTCTCTAAAATATAAAATATTTTTTTGAATTAAAAAAAAAAATAGTTATCCATTGCTATGTAACAGATTGCCCCCAAAACTTAAGCAGTTTAAAACAGTAAATAGGCCTGGGGCGGTAGCTCATGCCTGAAATCCCAGCACTTTGGGAGGCTGAGCTGGGCAGATCACCTGAGGTCAGGAGTTGAAGACCAGCCTGGTTAACATGGTGAAACCCTGTCTCTACTAAAAATACAAAAATTAGCCGGGTGTGCTGGTGGGTGCCTGTAATCCCAGCTATTTGGAAGGCTGAGGCAGGAGAATCACTTGAACTCAGGAGGTAGAGGTTGCAGTGAGCTGAGATCACACCATTGCACTCCAGTCTGGGTGACAAGAGCAAGACTCTATCTCCAAGGGGAAAAAAAAGCAAATATTTAGTATCTCAGACTTTCTAAGGGTCAGGAATCTAGGAGCAGCAGCCTAGCTGAGTGGTTCTAGGTCAGGATCTCTCCTGGAGTTGCTATCAAGCTATTGACAGGGCCTGGAGGATTTTCTTTGCTCATTCAGGGCTGTTAACCAGCATTTTCAGTCTCTCACCAAGTGGGCCTCACCTTAAGTTGCTCAGATAAAGCAGCTGGCTTCCCTCAGAGCAAGTGATTCAAGAGAAAGGCAGAGGGATGGAAGCCACCATATCCTTCATAACCTAATCTCTGAAGTGACATACCATTACTGCAAAATTCTATTGGTCACACAGACTAACTGATACAGTGAGGGAGGTGATAACCAAGAGCATGGATACCAACAAGCAGCAGAAGAGAGCCAGGTTAGAGACTGGTTTATCACCTAATTTCCCATTAGGAAACTTATGAATTGTTGATAGGCTTCTTTTAATAAATGAAATGTATCAAAACAGACCAACTAAATGACTTTTATGACAATTACATCCTTCCTCAATCTGTTGATTCCCCAGTATCAGTAAGTCATTGATACTGATTCTAAAATTATAAGAAGTCTAAAACAAGAGAGCACTTAGGATTACTGTCATGCAGTTTAAATTTAGAAATTATTTTCAGAATTGGTCAACGTAGATAGATAATTTTCTTAAAAGTGTGTCTTGAACTGCAATTTGAAAAGCAATAGGCCTGTAATCCCAGCCACTGAGGAGTCTGAGGCAGGAGAATCACTTGAACCAGGGAGGCAGAGGTTGCAGTGAGCCAAGATCGCACCATTACACTCCAGCCTGGGTGACAGAATGAAACTCTGTCTCAAAAAAAAGAAAAGCTGTAGAGACAGAGTTTTTGTTTGTTTGATTTTTTGGGGGGGTGGGGTCATCTTTGCTTTTTGTTTTTGTTTTATTTTGATTTTT